CGGTGAATGCGTCGCAATTGTCGGAATTGTATTAGAATGCGAAAGTGCGTCATTCGGTGTGGCGTCGGTGTTCGATATGTATATATATATATATGTGTGTGTATGTCAGTTTATGTGGTGTTGCTGCTTGCGGGCACTTTACTCACTCACTCCAAAATGCACACTGACGCTGTCTCACGTATGGGTTATGGGAAGAGCGCAAGCCGTTCACAAAACACAAGAACCACTAACAGCACAACATATTATGCTGGTTAATTGATCCATTTCCGATTGCTGTAATTGCGAACACATTTAGCAATTTACAATCACAATGGCAACAATTTTATATTTGTTTTTCTTCTCTGTCTGTCTCTCTCTCGCGCGCGCGCTTCATTTATGTGAATTAATTAGTGTGGCAAAAGTGTTGCCAAAGACAAAATCGTGTATGTTTTCTTATTTCCGGTAATCTTTCAGTATGTTCGTTTTTCATTCATTCATTCATTCATTGGTTCGGTCGAACGTTTCGATTCCCAATTATTATGAAATAATGTCGATAAATTCAAAGATTTTTTGCAACCGTGTTTGTGAAAATAGGTCAACGGTATTTTCCGTACACACATACACATACCATAAATTTTATGATAGTAATTTTAGACAAATATTATGATAGTATATGATTGTGGAAATTAAATTATGTCAAATCGGAGAGATCGCTTTTTTCATCATCAGCATCGTCATCGTCATCATAATCGTGGCATGCCACAATCAAAATTGTGAAGCTCACAAAACTTGGGACGTTTAATTAACGGTGAAATCATTGCCCAACTGCTTGTAACATAATGTAACAACGATTGGTGCCGTTGTCTCGCGTGCGCGCTGCGTTATTCACATGATGTGGTCGCCCGTTTTCGTCGTTGTACGGTAAGAGGAAATGCGCCAATGATCGTCATATAAACATATACAACGAGAGAGACATACATTCAGGCAGGCCAAGCAAAAAGAAAACGAACGAACAAACCGCATTTGTTGAAAAAAAAAGAATTGTATTCAAATAAAAGTGCAAGTTTCAATGTACATTTGTTATCATGAAATTAAAATGGAAAAACGTAAAATAGAAAACGAAATTATCTGGGCTTTTTTTTTCATCGTGCGACCACATTCAAGCGAAGCCGAGATTTGAGTCTGTGTTTTTCAGTAAGCGCGCGTTTTTCTTCTCTTCTCTTTGCTTTCAATCGAACAACTATCATATCATAGGCGCGCGCATACATTGAGTGTATCGTGTTGCGCTCGCGCTCACGTGCTCAAAAACCGAACTCGTAGCCTACATACAATACTATTTCGAATGCATTACATATTAAAGCCACACCATTTTAAGCACTTAGTTTTCTCTCTCTATCTCTCGCTCTCCGTGTGTGTGTGTACGCGCGCGCTCGTTTTTCATTTTAGTTGGCTTGCTAGTTATTATTATTGGCTGTGTGCTTTGTGTGTTGCGCTGCTGTTGAATACACGTCTGAATCATGTTGCCTGTCGCAGCTGAGTGTATGTGCAAGTCAGCGAATGAACGAGAGGGAGCGAACGAGTGTGAGAGCGAACCAGCGCGGCACACGGGAGGGAGAGACAGAAAATATGGTCAAATTCGACCTTGTCCTGAATTTTGCATTTTATTTTATGGTACAATGCGATTTGCGTATTTTTTTTTCTTCTCTCGTCTTTTTTTTCATTTTTGTTTTTGTAAGTTTTGTTGTTGTTGTTGTTGTTGTTGTTGTTATTATTATTATTATAGTGTAGTTAAATGCGCTATTTTTGTTCATGTATGCATATGGGCGCGAGCGCACACGATGTGTTGCACCAACCGACCGTTTTCATTACATGTACCCTTTTTTTATTGCTTTTTGGTGACTTTTAGCTCAGAGAGTGAGTAAGTCAGTAATCAATTAAATGAACAATTTTTATATAAACAAGTGCATACAGCCGTGTGTTTGTTTTATTTCGCTCTCAACACCTTTGCGTTCGATTTTCAGTTCAGGCCTGTGATACTAGCAACAATATTTTCACGTTTCCCATTCTGGTGCTCACCGTATGGCCGACATTTTCATTTCCTTCTTCATTTATCCGAAAATGCCACCGATTTTTCAAGACAATTTTCAGCCATTTGATACGGATCAGAATGACTGTCACAATCAGCCGTGGTTTTTGTGGCTATTGTTGTTGCTGCTACCATTTGAATGTGTAATTTTCAATCAGCCGAATTCGATGACAAAACAACATTTCGCAATTTATCGATATCACATCGCCGAATTTGTTGTTGTTGTTTGTTCCAGTGTGTTACCATTTCCGCTCACTGTCATTTCTAGTATTCGAGTTTCTTCGTACATGAAATAGACACACACAGACACTCAAACAAAATCGATATGACAACGGAATCTATCCAGTTCAAGTGAAGAGTTTGAATTAAATACTCGACTTTAGGTGGAAATATGAACTAAATCATCAACAAAATCAAGACGGGAAATACGCTTGCGATTTGCGAACATGGAAATAAAACAAGTCATAAATTTGATGTGATCGAAAACTTTCCAGCCACAAAGGTTTCAAACGCCGATTTTTTTTTCCTTCTTCGGCGATTGTTGTTATAATTCGCGAGTTCAGAAGAAATGGCGATAAAGATGTCTTTGTCGTCTTCTATTCACATTTGATGTCAAATTCGAGTTTCTTTTCTCGTTATAAGAACCATACGAATGGATAATATTAGACAGTTCGACTAGTTTTGCTAGAAAAAGTACTGAATAAACAACAAAAGAAGCAGCAGTAGCAAAGTATACAGGAAGAGTCATCGAACGAACTGATTTGAATTGTGATTTCTTATCAACGCATCAAAACCATTCATTTTTGTGTTTTTTTTATTCTTCTTCGAATTGATATGCTGATGTCAAGTGTTTATTGACAAATTAGCTTAACAGTTTGCATAAGTGTTCAGCCAATAATTCCGTCTGTGATATGTGTAATGGTACATAATATACGAAAAAAAGGAAGAGCAATGAAGAGTAACAACAACAATAAAAACGATACGCCGATGAAAATGACGATGTTTGCGATAAAATTGTCTTTTGAGTCCTACCACATTTATTTATACGACGAAATGAAACATACCGAAAAAAAAAATCTGTCTCAAGTTCAAGGTCTGCCAAAATGTACGAATACATTCACTTGGTCGCCTCTTTTATTTTATATATATATACGTATATCTCCAATTTATGTGCGCAACAACAACAACAACATCAGCGCACATTTTCGCTGCCGCTGCTGCTGCTGCTGCTCTGTCTGTGTATATAAAATGTTTGTACGCAGCTATAAGAGAGATAGCTGGTTGTATAGAGAGCGAAGCGAGCGAGGCGAACCGAAAGCCATAAATTGTGTTGAAATACGTAATGATAACACAGTAACAATTATATAAAATAGTATATGTAACTCGGCCTTTATTATATGTATAAAATGGATATAAATATACACGTATGAAAACAAGCGGCGAAGAGAAATGGGAAGAAGGCGCACGCATACATGACAGCCACGACAACGGCGACCACGGCCACAAGAGAAACAAAAATACTATATACAGTGTACCAAAACAGATGACGATTTCGACACGATTTTTCCTTCTTCTTCTTCTTCTCTCTCTCTCTCTCTCTCTCTCTCTCTCTCTCTCTCTTCGCTTTTAATGTGCAAGATCTTTTGCACAATTTGACCAAGACGAAAGCCAAATAGAGGTTTTTTCTTATATCGATGATATTTTGCCTTTTCGCTTCCTTCTCCGACGTAGCAGAATACGAAATGAAAAAAATAAAATAACAACAATATCGACAGAGATAGCATAGTCAATTGAGTCGACTCGAGACCGTCTCGAATGTGTCGCTTTTTTGATCCATTTGCGAATTGCGATTGTAATTAACAATCGAAAAAATGGGGATGTGTAAGCAACCTTATCATGCCGATTTACGGAGAATCTGTCAATTTGATGTTGTTTATTGGTTTTTTTTTCTTCTTAGTTGCGGTGTGACTTTGGCTTGGGGACACATAATTACGCGTTGAGTGATGCGTATGTGCCGGTCTCAAAGAATTTCTGAAAACTCCGGATGCTGTGTCTATTTTTATATACACTGGTACACAGAATGAAACAGTCTCTTTTTTTCTTGGGTTTTACAACATTCATTTTTCCTTTTTCGCAACTCATTTTCGATGCGATAGAAGGATAGAGTGAGAGAAAGAGACATTGACAGGCGCTTCGAAATGATTAAGGAGTTACAATCAATTTATGGCGCATATATTTGTTTTCACTCTGTAATTTTCTACACGAATTCCGATCAACGAGGAAATCATAAATTTGTGTGTGACAAGTGCATCTGTTTCAGAACAAATTTTAACCCAATTTCTTTTGGGATCCTATTTGTTCACTGTTTCCGCGTCTCTTATGATGTTTTTGCACGGTGCTTTTGTTGAAAAAAAAAAACACATTCAAATAGATAATGAACGTGTACTTGCGTTTTGTTTTATATTGCACGCCAGTGTCGTTTGTCTTGTGCTGTTGTTGACTAATTCCGAAATTGGGTAAAAAAACTTATGTATTACATGTTCACACTTTAACTAATAATCGGTTCAATCTCTTTTTTTCTTTCCTAAACGAAAAAAAAATGTATTTGCTTTTGATCCAACTGAACAACTACACGGAGACGACGGACGGTTTACGGAACACCTTTTCGCATACAATTCATTCACATGTTTTGTCGCTTTCGCGCCTTTTCTTGCAGTCGGATCGTATATATTTAATCGTTTTGTTATTTCAGTGTACGTCTGAAAGCAATGTCATCTAATTGACTTAGTTTTTTTTTCTGCTTTCTGTCTCGTTCGTTCATTGGATTGGTTGTGTTTATTTTGGAAATAATAGTAATTTTTTTTCGATTTGTTTCTGTGAGTTTTCGGTTGTTGTGCCGATTTGTGTGTGTGTATTTTTTGTTTCATTTACTTACGATAGCGTTTCATGAGATTCTTTTTGTATGCTGCTTTGCCACTGGCTTTGTCTTCCCCGGTGCCGGCTGAATCGTCTGATTCGGTATCGGAATAGTTATGATGACGTCGCCGATCGGCTGGAAGTGATAAATCTAATGGTTCATCATCGTCGGTTGTGTAGCGACCATTGTAATCATATGATGGTTCATCGTCACGTCCCTCTGGCTCGGAATCATAATTCTTGCGTCGTTCATACTGTTTGATAATTCGATCTTCGGCTTCGGCATCAAATAATTCATCGTCATCATCGATGCTGTTGCTGCGCTTAATAAAACGTCGCACATGGTATTTACTCTGATCGTTTGTTGTGTGCTGTTGTGTTGTTGGTGCAATGCTGGTGATAGCTGTGATCTCGGCTTTGGTTACCACCGATGCAGGCGACCTGCGCGAACCAATCAGATCAGCACCCTTAATTACACCGTTAAATGTCATCTCGGCTGGACTCTCGGATCGGCAACGTTCAGCCACCGCTCGCATTGTACTTGATTTGAGCACACTTTCTGTCTCTTTGATCACACAAACGGCGACACCGCTCGGTGTTGTCGGAATCGATTCAATCGATGTGTCATCCTCCGGTTTCACCAGAGCCCCCGATTTTGCGGCCATTTTTTGCCCAAAAGGTGGATAAACTTGTTGTTGCTGAATCATTATCATCTTGGATTAATATGTATGTGTGTGTGTGTATGTGCGCTTGTGTCGTTGAGCCTTTCGTAAGCGATTTTTTTTTGTCTCGTTCGTTCTTTCCAAAGAAGACGATGAACAAGCGCAAACGAATATCAGAGGATAAAAAAATTGAACGACAACGAATTTCCTGATTAATTCACTGGTTGATTCGTGTGTTGCGTTGCGTTGCGCGTTGTGTATTGTGAGTGGATGAGCTTTGGCAGTCTGCTTCTCGTTTACACGAACATTGTTCACTAAACAACGGCTAGTTATTTACTTCGAATGATGCCTTTTTCAATTCCTCTTCCGTTTTTATTCGGTGTATGTATGTGTGTGCACGTTTTTTTCTACTTATTTTTCTTATCTTCGTCTGCCTTTTTATTGTTCGCTTTGGATATTATTAGTTCTTGATCATTTTATTTATAAATCACTCCCCGAAGAGGCCGAGAGCGTTAGTTTGTTACTTGTTTAAGTTTTAAAATTGTTGAAACCGTTGGTATTGTATGTGTGAGAGAGTGTATGCCTGGACGTGGTCAAACTTTCGTTCACACAATGTATATTGGATACTCTTTCACGTTGATTTTGTTGTTGTTGTCTTTTCACGAAATAATTTTGTGAATCTCTTAAATTTTCTTATATTTGGTCAAAAACACATTGGATGCTCAAATCATTCGTTTTATTTATTTTTATTTTTTTTAATGTTTCACCTGAGACAATAATAAGAATAATTTTAGAGTTTGTTTGTTTTTTTCTTCCTTTTTTAAAAAATATATATAATATATCTATTTAAAGTTCACTAAATCCAAATGTTACTACTTGACATTTAATCGTTTGTATGATTTGATCGATTTTATTTGCCAAGAAATAATTTTCAAATCGCGCTTTTCAATTCAAATTGTATTTACGTTTGATTTCGCGATTGGTTTTGGTTACTATTATTTCTTTTAACGAATTTCGTACAAGAATGTTTGATTTAGTTGATTGATTTAGATCATAATTGTTGTTTTGCGTAATAATTCTTTTTGTATTCTTTCCTTCAACAGATAAAACGACGATAATCATCATTTAACCAAATAGCATATATAACATTTTAACTATGTTGTTTTAGGGGGTTAATTTGTGTTGTTTTGAGGGGATTTTTGTTTTAAATATTTGATTTATATACTTTTTATTATGTTGTTGTTGTCACACTATCATGAAAATTCACTAAATGAACGCAACCAACATTGATTTGAACAAAACCAAAAAAAAAACAGAACAGAACCAAAGAAATTTCTTTTTAAACTTGAGAAGCTGAATTGTACTATTTTCACACCACTTTTCTATTGGTTTTTGTTTCTTTCTTCTTTTTTTTTATCTTGTGACTATGTCTCTTCCGTCGCGAGTTCAATTGAACATTTGTGTATACTTTATTTCTTTTCTCGGTCTTGGTTTTTCACACATGAACATAACATAAACAAAAATAAATAACACTTGCAGCGACTGCGATGACAACGATGACGGCTTAAAGCTTAACGTACTCGCTCTCGCTCTTTCTTTCGGCGAAATGATTCAAATGGATTGGATTTTGACGCGATTGTAATTTCACTTTCGTTTTCACTAGAACCGTTTGTTGTATGCTTGTTTTCTGCGGTGCTTTTCGCTTTCTGTGTGCGGCTTCCGCTTTTCGTTGAAAAGTTCTACTCTCTGTATGTGTATATATGTGTGTCTTTCTTTTAAATTTCTTCTTTCAACTATCGTTCTTGCTCTTTCGATTATCGTAGGTTCGATAAAAATTGCCTTGTTTGCACTGAGCTCAAGTTATTATTGCTATGTGTCTAACTACGAATTAGTGTAACGTGTTGTAAAAAATTGTTGTTGTTGTTGTTGTTTTTTACTGCAGAATCGGTTTTTGGACTCCGTATTTCTACTCGATCGAAAAGTGTTATCGATCGCGAGTGGGACCAACCAAAGAGACTAAACAGTAGTTATTGAGTGCAATCTCTCTGTGTGTTATCTCGGCAATTATGAATCTGCAGCAGCAGGAGTAGCAGCAAGATGATAGTCGAAAATCACACACGGTGTGACACGATGATCGGTGTAGGACAGTGTGTGGTTGTGGAAATGTGTGTTGCAATAAAAATTTGGCTTCGCGTACCAAAAATAAATAAACAATTATGTTGTTCTCTCTCTTTTTTTGTCGAAGAAAAAACAGAGAGTTCAATACATCATTTGAATAATTTACTACGATATAAACGTTGTGTTGTTTTATTTTATTTTTTGCACTAAAACAGACGATCTACTTGTGTTTTTTCTTTAAATTATTTTCATTTTTCGTTTTTATCAAAATATTTTGTTTAAAACCTGATTTTTTGGTTGCAAAGATATTAGACGAATGTTATTTTTTGTTTTTTTTTTGTTTTTAATTTCTGCTTTCTTGTTTGTAATAATTTGTATTTTATTTAATAATTTGTTTTTTTTTTGTGTTTGTATCTCTAAAGTATTCTTGTTGTGTATGAACACCACAGCAAAAATTGAGGTAGAAATCCGAAAACGCGTGTTAGCCCGATTCGTTCTCGAGTCGGAATGACGAAATAGTACAAGTATGACAGCTATGAACCGACCTTCCTCTACTTTTCCAAACCATTTACATACAAAAAACCGTCTACACATGCATATACACTCGAGACCAAAACGCACCGAGGAAAGAGTGAGTGTTGTGCCGATATAGCGAGTGAGTGAGAAACGAATGGGCGCACTAATACATACCGGAGCAGCAGCAGCAGCAGCATTTTTCACTATATACACGCTGGCTCTCTTACATAGGATAGCGCGCGCGAGAGCACACAACCGACCGACAGACACATTGCCAGAGCCAAAAAGAACGACACTCTGCTGCAACACACAGCGCACAAATACAGTGTGTGTGTGTGGTTTGGTAACGCACCGACAGAACGAAACAGCAACACCAAAACTCACCGCCAGTAGTAATAATAATAATTGTGTGTATAGAGAGAAGTAAGCAGAGAGGAAAAAAAGCGTTTTTCGCTTATATGTCTGTTTTATAGTAATATATACGATTCACTGTCCCGTCCGTCTCTCTTTTTTGCTATATATCGTTTATACACGCTATTTTTCTTGTTATGTGTATATGTTGATGTCTATAGAATGAAGCGAGCGCGCACAACACAGAGATAGTAGGTATGTCTTCGATGTGAGTCTTGAGCGAGCGCGCGACTCTATGTGAGTGCTGTACATGCCGCTCGATCGCATTTCGCCGTTGCAAACATCTATATATTTATAAGCTCTATATGAGTGCAATGTTATGCATAATATCGTCTGAGCTTCTATGCTGGTTTTTTTTTCACTCGCTCGCTCGTTCGTTCGTTTGCTTCGCTTTTAGCTTCATCATCTCGATTTCGGCATTGCATATAGGACAGCCGTACATTGGGTGTATCGGTGTGTCTATAGTACATTGTGTGTGCTGTATGCGTAGATTTCAACAGTCGGTTGCCGTTATTACAACAGGCGATGAAAGAAGGCAAGAGCTGAGTGTTTCGCGTTGTTATCTCTCGTGCGCGGCGGTTGTATGTGCGGATTTTTCTCATTGCAAAAGCGCCATACCACGCAATTGGCGAGATCGGTGCTATTTTTGTTGTGTACCATGCACATACTCACACACATATATATAGCCAACATCCATCGTGTGGTGTGTACATAATGTGTGAACGGTTTGCATACAAAACTATTCTCTGTCTACGGATATTAGGTGTATATATTTAGCATAGACGCATCTATATCACCATACTAAAACCCGTTGTATGTTTCACTTCTATTGGTACATAATATTGGCCGTTCGTCGTCGTCGTTGACGCCGTTGTCGTTGAAAAAGCCGAGTTTCACATTTGGGTGAATGACGACGACGACGACGACGACGACGACATCGATGAGCGCGCGCGGGGTGCATGGCAATAGAGAGCGAGACTTCATGTTTGATAAAGTGGATGGATATGTCGGAGTGAAAACAAGAAACGGAGACGAACAGAAAAAAACAAAAAAAAAAACAAAACAACGAATAACAACAACGATGATCCAAACGAAATAATACAATGCGCCCGTACGATACACACACGTACGTCATTGTGTACGTACTGTCCATGTTCGCCAAATGCCGATCTACATACAATGCTACTGCACAAAATTTGTGTGTGTCGTACTCTACCGCATATTTGAGCACATCGATTGCTATATCGTACAGATAATATTGTTGGCGTTGATATGGTTTTGAAGCTTTTTTTCTCGTCTTGTTGTTTGCTCATTTGCGTCATTCTCAATCGGCTTCTTCTTCTTCTTTTGCTTCTAATGAAAAGTCAAAAATTCCACAATTGGCCAAATGTGATGATTGGCTGCATGAAAATTCTTATCATTCTAAGTCATCGTATGATAGTTAGTCCGCAGTTCATTCGAAATAAAAAGTAGAGATAAAGTTTAGTGCAGTTAAACAGGAGCAGCAGTTAACACTTTGCGATTAATTTCGTTTCATTTTTTTGTTTTATTTACAATGAGATCTATTGCATTTTTTTTTCTTGTTTAAATACAGATTCATGTCATTTGTTTACGTTGAGAGAGAAAGAGAAACAGAGCAATCGAATCGAAAATTGTCCGAGTCAAATTGAACGGTTGACTTTTTGATTAAGCATTTCCTATCTCGATAAGAATATAGAAAACAACGGTTCAATCAAACAAATTGTGACCAAATTTGGAATGAGAGACGAAAGAAAAAAACGCACGTACACACAAAATCTAACCAAGGGAAGATATTCCAAAATACACACTCGAACAATCGAACTGAATAATACATGAAAATAAATGAAAAAATAGCAAAAAATTGCATGAAAAAGAAGAAGAAGAAAACGAAGAATTAAAACACAATACGAAGAAGAAAAAGAAGAAGAAGAAGAAGACGAGCACCATGGAGATTGAGTGAGCGAGAGAACGAGAAAGAAAATATGTCGGAATAATTTCCTTTTTCATATACAGTTTCACTTTCAACTTTCCCGTGCACATGCAAGCGTTTATCGAAAAAGCGCAACAGAAATGAAAGGAACATGTGAAAAAACGTATAGCAGCAGCAGCAGTAGTAACGGCGGCAACAGCAGCAGCAGCGTGTGCGCGCACGATAGAGAGAAAAAAGTGAGAGTTGTAACAAAAGGGAGGGGGATAAAGAAGAAAATTGCATGTGTTATTCGAGAATTTACGCTACGCGAGACATTGAAACTGAATGTGATGAAAAACCACTTGCATCCACAATGAACTTTACGAGAGAGCGAAGAGAAAAAAAGCGCACACACTCTTTTTTTCTTGCTTTCGTTCATTCTTTGGGTTCTTCTTCGTTTTTCGTTGTTGTTGTTGTTATGGTGTGTCATTACGATCGTAAAAATGACGTCGACGCCAATCTTTTTCGCTCTCACCGAAAATGCTTCGTATCCAATGTACGGATGGTGCCCAAAATGGACTAATTCATTAAATTGCATCCATTGTATGGACGAAGACCAATCTCTCATTGGTTATGTCGAACAATAAGATGCACTTGATGGGTGAACCACACCACATATATATGACATACAATTTTCCATACATATAATAATTTGAGAACAAATCAAATTCGCTTTGGGGCGCGTTCGAAATAAAATCAATTCGACAATCTTTGAGAGATGAATCTCTATTCATGTCATTTTCACAAATTTAATTAAGAATCACCTCAAAATCATTCAATCATCTCTTGCTCTCTCTCTCTCTCTCTCTCTCTCTCTCTCTCTCTCTCTCTCTCTCTCTCTCTCTCTCCCTCTCTTTCACATATTTTTTTCCATAGAAAGGAAACCCCAAATATTAAAACCATTGAATTCAACAATGTGCAGTTGAAATTGAATTGAACATTGATAAAATTGGTATTGCATTTTTTGGGTAAAACTTGAATTACCGCAACATCTAATATTGTCCATTCTCTATAAATAAGAACCAAATATCTGGATCGAATGCAATAATGTGCTTCAGGTTTTGCTACTAAAACAAAACCGACGATAAGAATGGATCTGACGTCAAACGTTGTGAATGAAAATAGAAGAAATAGTATCTATGGTAGTTTGCCATCATGCAATTCAAAAACGAAGAGAATTAAAATGAAAAAAAAAAACGCACGCACGCACACAAATTTCGAATGAATGAAGCGCTGCCTAGTTGGAGAAAAGTGCGCAAAGTCAAAGGAGAGAATTGAAATAGAAGAGAAAAAAAAACATACATTGTTCATGTTGGAATCGAATGTTTTATATATATTTATGTAAAAGCAAAACAAGTGCGCACAAAGGGGGCCTTTTCTTATTTTCATCATCATCATCATCACATCGCAATTTTCTATTTTGTTATTATTTTTATGTTGTTGTTGGTTTTTTTTTTCTTACGTTCGTATTATTATTTTCTTTTTTAATCAAATGATTGCACATTAATTCGATCTTCTGAGATTTAATTGCAACATGCTACATAATCATAGCACGACTGAACTAGTAACTCCAATATTTCAAACAAAACCGTATTAATTACATCTCATTTTTTTTCGTTGTTGTTGTTTTGTTGTTATTGTTGCCGCTGCTGCTGCTGCTGTTCGTTCATTCGTATTCATCCGTTGCACACGCATATGCTTATGCATTCATTATGCTTAAACAAACGTAATAGTGCGTTAATACATGCAAGTGCTTTTATAAAAGAGATTTTCCAATCGAAAACATCTTATTTGCGCCCGTTGAAGAAATGAATGAAGCGACCAAGTCTAAGCGACTGAGCGACGAAGCGAGAGTAAGTAAGTCTAGGAGTAAGTGCAAGAGAATGATTGAATGAGCCAGAGTGAGAGGGAGAGATTAGAAAAATAAAACAGCGACTCGGAATGTTTTTTTTTTATCTTCTTCTCTTCATTCGTATGCTTTCTGGGGAAAAAATCACCACAAAAATTAGATATAATTGAATTGCACACATTTTCCTTTCTTTTTCGCATACTTCTTGCATTCATTCATTTACGCCATTTTCGCTTTTTTTCTGCAGATTTCTAATCGAAAGTGATAATCATTTTGCCATAAAGAAAATGAGCATTGTGCAGCAGGCTGGCAACAGCAGCAGCAAGCTGCAAGCAGCCGTGTGCGAGTGTATATTGGCTGTGTGTGTGTGTGCGGCGTTGTAAAAATTTCTAATCACTCATGATTTTCCAAAATGCGTCTATTTTATCTGTTTGTTTGATTTGTTTTTTTTTTCGCTACTCTATTTCTGTTGTTGTTGTTGTTGTTTGTTGTTGCTTCTGTTTCTACTTCAAATTTTTTTTTTCTGTTGTAGTTTATATTCACTCTCTTTTGTTTTGTGAATTTTTACGTATAGTCGATGCCTGAACATTCGACAGCACAAAAGAAGTCACTCATAATCTCTATCCTATTTTTAGATATTCGTATAAAATTGCATTGAATGAAGAAAGAAGAAGATGAAGAAAAAAATCAGTTCAATGGCGTGCGCGCGCGCGTTCATATCTTGGAAACACACTCCTTTTCACACTATCTCGTGCGCGCGTCAGCCAAAAGAGTGTGTGAGCTCAGTAGTGCATGCACTCGGGATTTTGT